GAACCCCTCTTAATGACCACCCCTGTTAAGGACTTATCAATTCAGGACGGGACTCCATAGAGCCCAATTTGTAGTGTATAGTGTAGTGTATAGTGTAGTGTATAGTGTAGTGTATAGCAGTGTGTAGTAGTGTAGTGTTTAGTAGTGTAGAGGAGAACCCCTCTTAATGACCACCCCTGTTAATGACTAATCACTTAACTATGGGGCCTCCACAGAGCCCAATGTGTTCGCTTACCGAACATTCCCCTGTTAACGATGAGCTGTTGTGGGGACAGTAAATAGTGATTAATGCATTGATTAACCACGTTTTAACAAAAATATTACGTGTTTATAATGTTGCTAATATCTGTGTACTAATATCCATTGTTTAAATATGATAAAGCACGTTTCTTGGGTGAAAAAGGGTAAGTTTCGATGCTATCGGAACGAATTAAGCCTTTTAACGTGCATTTGCTATACTCGCTTAACAACCAAATAACTTAACGTCCAGTTTCGTGGAACCAATTACCGTTGTTAAGAGGGGTTCTACTATATTTTCTTTTAATACAGGGTGTTTGAAACATATGAACCCGATTTGAAATCGCTATATCTCTGCAACCACGAACCGCCCATGAATGAAACTCTTACCACTTGAAAGGGCGGGGCGTAGAGAGGGCGGGGCATAGAGTTTCAAATGATTACCGCTCGATGCCTCTCCCAGCGCACAAATAGCCCCTAGCCTCAGTCATTCGCAAGACGGTGACCCCCGCAAACACAAGGGGCGTTTTGCCTTCTGCAGTTCAGCAAGACTGAATCCGTTATTGCGGTGCAGCGTGCGTTTCAACGGCGTTTTGGTATTGATCCGCCAATGTCAAAGAGCATTCGTCGTTGGTACCGACAATTTGAGGACACGGGCAGCTGTTGATGTAAAGGGCAGAGCACAGGGCGACCACGCACCTCAGAGGGAAACGTGAGAAGACAGGCGTTTGGGACGAATTCAACTGTCGTCTCGATGTTGTCCGTACAGCAGGTGGAGGGCACATAGAGCATTTATAAAATGCTTAGTAAAACTTGATAACTCATTAAACCGTTTGTAATTTTTAGTATAATTGCAACACGTTGCCATCGTGAAATAAACTGCTTTGAAATAGAGTCAGTCTTTTTAATTCACCCTACTATGGCGTTTGTTCGTAAGAGCAAAGCTCACCATCTCACACCCTCTAATTTTTAAGACCCACATGAGGAGGGAGATCTGCGGTGCATCGGTTTACATTCTCTCGTGCCATGAACCAGGCGGCATGCTTATATCAACCATCCCGGCCATAATAGTCGCTCACGAACAGCGCTTGCCCCAACAATCCGCAGGACTAAATGTTCGATCGTTTTTCCATTTTGTATTTTATGCGTGCGTGCGTGTTTCTGTTTGTGTGTTGCCTTCACCCTTGGCTCCAGTATTTCTTATTATTTCTGCGACAAACCCCCCGGCATGCGTGTGTGCCACAACATAAAGGGCACCAGCACCATTCAATATTTGTTGACCCAAAGCAGAGTTTAAGTTGACAGTGCCTATGATGAAATGGCCTAATATATTATATATGACGAGGTATTTGTTTTCCAGAGATGCCCCCCCAGAGAGAGACTACGGCCTAACCCGGTCAGACCTGCACCAGTGATCCCCCAACAACAGTGATAAAAACAAACACACACTCGAAATGTATGTTACAGAACGGCTCAAATTTAAACGATTAAAGTTTCATTGCAATCATCTTTTGTTGGGACTTCTTTGAAAAGTGGCATGTTTTAAAGATTGCCCATACGATTCACGAGACAGATGAAGGTAGCATCGGAAGACGAGAGTGACATAGAGGAAAGAACTGTGCCCCGGACCTGTCTATAGACAGAATACTTTATGATGATGATTTGATTTGTCAAGGTCAATATCATACTATTTAAAACAATCTAGCGGTGGGTTCTTGTTTAAATAAACTTATCCTGGTGTCTGACAAAAAATACCAGCACTGTTACACACACTGCGTTATAAAAATAAAGAAATCTCCTGTCATTACCGTGTCTTTAGTAGGTGCGCAAATTGTCATATACGAAAATAAGATCAAGGGGTCGACTTGTGTTGTTAAACACAAGCGTACAGACCTTGAGCAGGTCACATCACTGATATTCTAATTTATTATTAATGATGTGACTGGTCCCCCCCCCCCCCCAGTCACATCAAATCGGTCACATCACTGGCATGGAGTCAATGCATTTTCTGATGAAAACCCCAGCCGTGGACAATAAGCAAGACAGGAAAAGGGCAGCGTGGTTAAATCGGGGAGAAAATTGAAGATGCGATATGGATTGCAGCTACGCAGGTCCAGGGGCAATGGCACCTACAACGTACGGACAGGCCTGTCACGTAGCAGTAGATAGAGAAGGGATAACCGATGACGGTTATGATAAAGACTTTGAAGATACATGATTATATTTCGATTTAAAGCTTTCGTGACTGCAATGATTCATCTTCTTTGGTTCTTTCGGTAAAGTCACGTAGAATGAGAATAAAATAATAAATTGATAAAATAAAATAACACAATAATATTCTCACGACGTTTCGGCCACAACACAAGCGGCCTTCATCAGGTGAAGGGACGAGACTGTCTGGTAGGACAGCGCTGGAGTGAAAGAGCCACGTTGAGGCTTAAAAGGCCGTGATCTGAACGTGGCTCTTTCACTCCAGCGCTGTCCTACCAGACAGTCTCGTCCCTTCACCTGATGAAGGCCGCTTGTGTTGTGGCCGAAACGTCGTGAGAATATTATTGTGTTATTTTATTTTATCAATTTATTATTTTATTCTCATTCTACGTGACTTTACCGAAAGAACCAAAGAAGATACATGATTATGTTGTTGAAGATGGGATGTATGATATAATTGCTTGGCATATTGACTCATGTTCTGTGCATCCGTGGGAATGACCTGGGATTTTGTTTTTGCATTCATCCCAAAAGCCCTCATTTTATATGCGTAACAAATTCAGTTACTCACTGTACCCGTAAAGGCCATCTCCGGGTCAAGTCAGCCTAAGATAACCAGCGAATGCTGCCATTTAATTTGCAGAAATGCTCGCAAATTTAATGCAACAGGTGCAACGCTGATTAATGAGTAGTGACATTTTATGTTGTCAAATTGGCAGCACAAATTCATATATATATTCATTCAGAGTCAGTGGGGGGAAAATGCATCCCACCAACAAGCTGCAATGTGACTAAAGGGGGCTTCCGTTTTGCCGGTTTGTTGACTCGACCTGATAGTTTTAAACAATCCTTTTTTATCATCCAATAATAGTGTGGCCTTAAAAGGAAAACATTTAACAGGCGACGTTTTGGGCAATTACCCTTCTTCATAGCACATATGCTTTTTTCATATATATTCGCTATTTTGGCCATCAGCAGATTGCTATTGTGAAGGCTAGACCTCAGGAAAACAATCTTTTTCGGTATTCGGTAGAATCTCGCACGCGTGGAGAGTAGGTAAAAGGGAGGAATTTGAGGGACAGCAGCTCTTCCTAAAGCTCTGCGGCACCACTTCATCAGAAAAAAAAACATTGATCCGCATATTCCAATGCGGGTTTATATTCACTGAAGGGGTTAAACCATCCCAGCCTTCTTGCTGCTAATTTTGTCGCTGCATCACCTTTTCTTCTTATGCTTTTACTACATCTATCAGTGAACCTTTAAACAAATATAAATGTATCTTAGTGGTATTTGTGTATGGTGGGGCTATGTGGTGGGCAGCAGCAAAATCATTGTGGTACTATACTTCTATGCTTCCATGTCTATGCTGCCCAATCATCCCACACTGACCAGGGAGGATCGTGGCATTGCAAGACTGTGGAATTATCGTGCTTGTTTGTAGTGATGACGGGTGGCATATATGCATGAGCGTATCGTTATTGCGCTATTACTCAGGCGTTGATTCTGTTGACTCGTTTTGCAATCTTGTCCGTATGATTTTTGTTCGTTCATCTCGTTTGCCTGGTCCTACGTGGCATACTGTGCAACATTATCATGCAATGTGCATGTTGTTTGCGTAAACCAATTCTCACACGCAATTTCCCATGCATGCATCATGAGCGGAATAATCGATTTGAATCAATGAATTTGACGCAGGCCTAGTATTTGACGATGGCCATATGGATAGACTGATGCCCACCATAGGAATGTGGAATATTCACAATGGGCACAGGGCCACCAACACAGATTAGCACCCCCAGATCTACTATAGTCCAAGTATGAATTCCCAAATGTTTTATTTTTATGTTATATCTTGGTTCTGCCCAATGGCGACAAATTATAATACTTTCAAAATATTATGAGAAGCTCATCCTGCATGCTGAAGCCATTATACACGCACAAGGCGATTTTTCAGCAACAAAAGGCACAATTGTGACCACTGGAATGGCCCTCCCATGACGCTGTTTATGTCACGCGACAGTCCGCCTGTATAATGCACGCAGCCTTATTTTAGACCACCGATTCAACAGAGTTAAAACTGTGGGCCATATTATTTTCTAACTGTTTACCGGTTTCCTCCTTCTCGGGAATCATCAGTACAGTATAGACATTTTGGACTTATATAATGAGCGATGTATTTATATTAAGTGACTTTCTTACTCCTACCGTTGTTTGTATTGTTTACTGTTGTAACTTGCTGTCAAGCCAATATGAAAAAGAGCTTCATAGCTCATCGGGATTCGTCCAGTCTAAATAGAGATTCTGATTTCCTGCTGCTGCTGCTGCGGTGGCCTTGTGCCTCAGGGCACCCTGACAGGGGCTTTACGTCGACTGGCTCTCTCTGACAAACCGTGGGCACAGCCTGCCCACTGCGTAACGGTGACAAGCGATCGTTGACGCCTTTCTGGAAACGGTGAGAAGCTCACCAAGACTCACTGAGCACCCTGCTCTAACGGTTTGAATGTGTTTTTTGTTGTTGTTGTTGTTGTCGTGTGTGTTCCGACGTGTCGCAGACCCCCTGCTGCGGGACTACTGGGTGTACGAAGGTTCCCTGACGACGCCTCCGTGCTGCGAGAACGTGCTGTGGCTTCTCTTTCGATACCCGCTCACCCTCTCCCACGCCCAGGTGTGTCTCTCGTCCACGCCGCCGCCGCCGCCGTCGTCATCGGCGTCTCGGCAGGCCGGCGTTTGCTTTGAGGGCGGCCCTCCCCTCTGGGGTTCCCCTCCCATCGGCACCGCACAAAGCAGAAGGGCGACGCATGACCCCCCCACACACACACTCTGACGGGGGCTCTGAGCGCTGCAGGGGACGCGTTACTCCAGGCGCAGATTATCGCAGAGGCGTGTCGGCGAGCGGCTCCTGAAAGCGAGGAGCAAAAAGGTCACATTTGCTGAGGAATAAAGGGAGAATGTTATCAGCATTCTCCGATGGCAAAACACAACTTAAGCCAAGGGCTGTCGTCAATATTGTTGGGCTGGAATCTCGGGGGGGGGGGGGCGGGGGGGAATGCCATGCCCTGGGATTACTCTCGAAAAGCGTTTAAACAAACGCGCTGACACTGTGGAAACCCCAACGCGTTGGCATCTCCATCGCACCGCTGGGCCTGTGGCTTACTGGGAGCTTATTATATGAGTAATATTGTCATAGCAGCTATTAGAGGACCGTCTGCATTATATATTTACGCATATACACATGCCAAATTAAAACCGAAATCTAACTCTACGTGTTATTTTAATGACAGCTTACTTTAATTGCCCTCCCTATGTATCTTGAAGCCCAAGTCCCACAGTTGTATAGTTAGATCCTTTGTTAAAACCATACATTTTTGTAATTGTACGTTCAAAATCAATACCGTGTTAGGTGTTATTTTCGAAGCTCAAACTGAATTCGTGTTGCCACGTTCAATATTTAAAATTTACAATAATATAAAGTGAAAATCACGTATTGAGTAATGGTTTTGGATATGACCCTTGCTTTTTATTCTGTATGCACAAGAAATGGCACTGCCAGAATATCCAACTTCAATTCAGAATGCAGTGTTTGTTAATGACAATGTGGTGACACGTTAAAAAGTGCCCATGTCCTTAAATCTGAACCCATCAGTTCTTATAACCCATCCGCCCCAGTCTTAGCCGTGTGTATTTATATTTTTTCACGAGAAGACACACAAATACAACAGACCATCATTATAATGACTGAGAGAAAGGAAAGAGTTGTCTGCGGTTTATTCAAATGCCTCTTTTAACCAGGCATCTCTGTTTTCGAAGCCCTTTGTACAAAGTCCCTTTATGTAGAGGCTTTGAAAGGTACTGCAGTTAGATCTACGGCCGTGTCATCATGACTGTGGAAACCGCGAACACGGGGGCCGGTTTTAAGTGGCTTGTGCTTGAGGCTGTTGATTTATACAACAGTTGTAGTAAGAACGCCTCAGTATGACCACACACAGAAGAGGTTACGGTAACACAGAGCAGGAAGAGGTAAGCACCAACCACACCAACCTTCATGTGCTGAATTTGATCGTCACGTCCATCTCCTCACTTTGCTGGAAATATTTGAAACCTACCCAGTGTTTTGTTATCGAAGTTTTAATGAACATGCATGCATTAAATGGGAATTAAGGAAAAGCCATTCTGGGAAAAGTGGGTGTTTACGACTAGATTTTAAGTAATTGCTGATCCCGGTTACAATCAGAGGCATCATTTGTAGGGTTTGAGAGAGACTGAAGACCTTGTCATGATCAAAGCCATCTGCAGCTATTTATTTAGCTGGGCCAGTAAGCACAAATTGTAATAATATATCCAGTCAGCCACCCAAACTTTCCAAAGGGAGAACGTTCATCAAAAGGTAAAGTGTGCTGGTTGTTTGAAATGAAAATAGAAATTAAATTTGTCACGAAGTTGTAGAGGAGAAGTTTCAATGCCTTTATTCATTTTGTATTGGCTCCCTCTCCCTGCTACTCACACCCCCATGAGCACGGTGGAATGGTCCCTAGGTTGGCAAACCTGAAAAGGTGCACCTACTGAGGGCATCACAAGAACCATACATCTTATATTGTATACATGTTATTCTTGAGTACGTGATGTGTTATTGCTTTGTTATTTTCAAATGAAAATGTCGGTGGCTTTTTTTTTACATTTTCTCAATTTTGTTCTCGTCGTGCTATTGGCATCATCATCGTGTCATAAGCACCTCCGATGGCTACGTACGGTGCGAAAGAAGTTCAACATACACGCATGCATCTGCCCTTCCCCCACATGTGACACCCTCACACTGTGGTGCACCACGCCGAAGATTTCACGGCACTGCTTCTGGGACTCATTCGAATGACCATTTGTCTGCACATGCTCATCGGTGCAATTTATGACATGCACTACTACGGGTAGAACTGTTCATTGAACGGCGGATAAACGGGGATCTTTTTTTCATCTTGAAAGCTGGAAGTGTGCCCAAATCAAGTGAAAAATACAAACTTAGGATGATGGATTTTGTGTGTGTAATGCAGTTATTGGTGATAGGGCTGAGACCCATCTACTCGCTGCACTTGAGAATCCGATTCAATCACGGGTTGATGCCTGGATTAAAACCCGGCATTTCAGCGGCGTTGGCTCTGCGCTCTGAGCCGTGAGTCACCCGACCAACCTCATGAAGTTAAATTTTGATTTAAAGCTTTCGTGACTGCAGGAATTCACGTGACTTTACCGAAAGAACCAAGAATATGAACCTCATAAAGGTTCGGGCTTTATTGTGCACATACTGGAATGTGAATCCGGTTTTCATCTGAATGCTGTCAATGCCAATGCTGCACTCGGGTTATACGGTCTAGACTTTCATTTGAGAGATTTGTCTCCGTATTGAACAAAATATATATCAGAGTTTCAAGTACATCAAATCGCTACTGTATCTCAGCTTTGCCTTATTTATCCAGCAATGTATGTATATACGTCTTTTCTGGCAGCAATGTAGTCTTCCCATAGCCATAACATACTTAGAGTTAATGCTCATTTCAAGAAATAGGTCTCATGACTTGTGTTGTGAATCATGTTGCATGTCTTCTTGGTAACTTTTTCTGAGCCAGTGAGCAGCAGGTCATGATGAAAGGTTGGCTATGAGATTGTGGCTTCACGAGATACCTTGAATTTAAAATGTCAGAATTTGAAGTTGCCTCTTGTCTCAAGGGATAATGGGTGTGCTAAGGTATTAAGTTTGCTACTCTGAGATCCTAGGTTAAAGCCTCTGCATTTCTCGCAAGGGTGGAACAAATGGCGATTGACATCACTTGTGGCATAAAATAAATCGAGCACGATCTTTTTAATATCCATCTAGAAAAATGTCGTTATATTTACATGTTGGTGAAAAGGCAATTAGGTTCACTCAGCAGGAGATTTGTGAATGAATGTACCGCAGCTTTCATAAGTTAACTGCGGCGAAAACTTTTGTGTGACGCAGATGGACGATGACCAAAAAAAACATGCACGCACAGGAAGACGCGGTGACATTTACGCCTTTTGTCAGTAGTTTCAGTGGAACGATAGAAATCAAAGTCCCTTGGAGAGCAACGACAGATTCCTCCGTTGGGAGAGGTTCGCGTGTGGCAGGGACGGGAGTAGAGGGGGGGGGGCAGCTTAAGGTGCCTACTTCATCTGGCGTTCTATCCTGAGCTGTAATGCGTTACGAAAGTAAGTTTGTGAATTTTGTAGTAACGCAGTTCGCCCAGTAGCTTATGTGGGTCAACAATTTGGTGATCGCTTGCAGTTCTGACAGCTACTGCTCCACACCGCTAACTGGTTGATGCATCTGACGTTGATATGCCTATTGCTGCTACTACTATCACTGATGATGATAATAGTGTACACTTCTAAAGTGCATTTCACCCAGTGGTCACAACGTACTGTACAGAGAAAAGAAAACGTGCAGGCTTACACGAAATCAAATCCAATGCAAGATGTCCTATTGCTGCTGCTGCTCCTGCTGCTGCTATCAGGGCAATATTATTGCTCGCTTTTGTCACAGCTCTCTTTGATGCTCCTCTCAAACGAATACTGCTTAATCCAGGGTATTGGTTCTATAATGTTGTTGTCTAGCCAGAAATATCTCGGCCCGAGTGTCAGTGAGTTTGTATTTTTAGAACGTTTTGTGTGCGCGCAAGGAAACCGGGGTACCTTCGGATGGCCGAGCCACACAAGGCGAGGTCGCTTAAATTCCACACAGCTCACGAGCTTACTTCGCCAAACGTCTTCGCACGTGCATCACGTGACACGTGCCGATCGCACGCAACATCTCTGCGAGTCCAACAACCCTGCTCCCACAACGATCGCATGCAGGCCAATGCCACGATACCCAGCCCACATGCATCATCTTCGTCGTCCTCGTCGCCGTCATTCACCCAGGATCGGTTGAAAGCCTTGCCACACCCATAATCCAGATTTTTGGGAGTAGTAAATATAAATGTGTCCTTAAACCACCACCACCACCTCCACCCGGCACAGCCGATTCGTAAAATTTGCCACGTGAACAAAACGTGCCAATTAGGTATAACTTCAGCACATCGGTGTGATGGCGAGTAAACCCACAACATTTACATTCACAATCGAGTACAACGTTTTGCTGGCGATTACAACCAGATCCATATATTTATGCGATCTAACCCCAAAAAAACCCTTCATGAAGAATAGTATCGTTCGCGAGAGCCTAAACCTTGCCACGCCACCACCATCCCTCGCGGTTCAGCGATGCCACACTCCGTCTCGCCCCTGCGACACGACCTCATCGCTCAATCTACCCAGTGGGTTGTCTTCTTGGGTGCATTCTCTCCTTTGGCTGCCATTCTACCACCAGTCTCGACCAGCAGCTGCATCTCGACCGAGTCCAATTACGTTCCTTGACAGTCAATGTGATGTCCTTAACTTGGTGATGATTCTCTGATCCGTATTATTATTCCTCTTTCAGCTCTTAAGCCGTCGTTTTTTTTTGTCGTCAGTGCATGCGTATCTCGTCCACATGTGACAGATGGCAACATCCCTACTGATTGTCTTCTTCATGTGCATTTAAAAAAGTGAAGTTTTACAAAAGCACTCCATACTGTAATTTTTTCACCTCTCATTTCATAAATCTGATGTCGATCCACATTCGAAAATTTCTCTAGATATGCATGTTCTCCGACATACATAGCAGTCACTGACAATTATTTATCCATACGCTTTGTGACTATTTGCCGCAAATCATACATATTGAATGCACGTTTATGTCAGAATACTTGTTAACTCTGATCTGCAACAAATCTAGTGCTGTTTTTAATTGATCGACGAACATTTGCGATTAATATCAATGCCTCCAAACATCCATAAATCCATGAATTTTGTTGAAACTACATTCTTAAGCCAACCATCTGTGCAGTGTGTAATTCTATCCGGTTCACTGCTGTGGAATAAATCTGCCGCTCTGCTATGTAAATGCATTGCTTTGAAACGCATGCAAAATAGCTGCAGTTATTATTTAAGCAATTTGACATTTATAAAAAAAACTCGCTCGTTCGTTTCTCAATCCGCGTGTCCAGGTGAGGGTCGCGGATGCAGCGTGTTGAGTAGAGCCATGTAGAAGACCCTTTCCCTGGCGACAGACTCTAGTTCCTCCTGGGGAATTCCCAGGCGTTCCAGGGCCAGCCGAGCGACATCGTCCCGCCAGCTCAAACGATGAAAATGAAAAAAGTGACTGCCGTGGTGGTGAGCGGCAGGGGGTGGGTTGGATTGGTGGCAGCAATCTGAATTAAGTGCTCGTGCTTAATGGTAATAGAGCAATGTGGAGACTGAGCGGTTATTAGCCAGCCATGCAGTGCGGCTGTGGATTTCATTTGACTACGATGGTGCCAATACCGTCGTGTTGTTAATAGTTCTGGTGATGGTGGAGCTGTGTGTAACTACATGGCAGGCAGCGAACAGCCATCAGTGTGCTCTGGCCGTGGATTAATTACACACCATAGTGGTGATTATGGTTCTCACGGCCATAATAAATGGTGGTGTCGGTGCGGTGCCGGGCAGCGATGGTCAGTAAATGGCGAACTGTTGCAGTGGATTAATTGGACCACAATGTGTTGATAGGACAAATAGTGGCGAGTCAGCTGGTGACCAGTAATGCACTGTAGCTGGAGATTAATTGCACTGCAATATTGTTAACGTACTTATGATACTCGAGCAGCATTACACGGCAAGGCAGCAGGCGAGTGGTGACGCGCTGCAGGCTTGGATTAATTACGCTGTGATTGTGCTTACGGTGTTAAATGTGCTGTTGGGCAGAAGTGGCTTTGTGATGACATACTGCTCTGATTAATCACGCTCTGGCAGTGTTAATAATACTTGATGGGTGTAGAAGGCCAGTGGACCAAACGTTATCTAATTTTTATGTTGGATATGCCAGGGAAGGTGATTTATCTGTTACTGATGGCCCATTTTGTAGAGGCGAGGGCACTCACCAATAACATTTGGTAAACAGTCAGCATTTTTTTTTTGCTGAGCTTCATTCTTGCCGACGAACTCTAAATTTGACAAAACTGGTCCTGAGTTGTACGTATGTTGAACTTCTTTCACACTGTACATAGCCAACAGTGATAATCACAAGGCTTGAATGCCCGCATGCCAATGGATGGAAATGTATTTTATTTGGATGTGGAGGTACGTAATGGAAGGTGATTTATTTAGAACTATAGTTCTAATGGTTCTGCATCGTACGGCTGGGGTGGCTATCTCCTATATCCACGGACAATTAATAACAGCCGTTAGTGCGACTTCGGTCACCAATCCCAAATCACGGAGCACATATCATACACCACTGTGCGCTTCGATAATTCGTCCGCAGCATTTAAGATATTCGCCATGTGGCCACTCCCAAAGCCATCCACCGGCTCACTCACCAACCTCGACATGAACTTATATGATCGTGGTTGATCAACGCCTCGCTATATGACAGAAGGAGGTCGGATCTGTTCGTGGATCAGTCTGGCACCGCGCTGCAGTGAACAGTGGTGATGCGCTGTAGCTGTTGATTAATTACAGGATAGGGGCCGTCCATAAATGACGTCACGTACCTAGGGGGGGAATCAGACATTTGTGACGATGTGTGACGAGGGGGGGGGGGGGTGAGAAATGTGACGTCACATCAAAATGCGCAACTTGAAATAAAAATAGACAACACGTTCTACTCAATTAAATAGACTTTTTAATAAATGTTTTCTCCTACAACATCAGAGTGCAGCGGCACATTAAATACGCACTACAATGACAATAGTTTAAAGCGATTTGAAGCATGTTTTATATATATTTTTTGGGAGGGGGGGGGGCAGAGCTTTGTGACGTCATATCTGAGGTGGGGGGGGGGGGGTCTGACTTTGTGACGCCGTGTGACGATGGTAGTGGTGGGGGGGGGGGGTAAAAAAATCGTCCAAAATCTCGTGACGTCATTTATGGACGGCCCCCTAATGCCAACGGCGGTGGATCAGTGGCGGGCTGCGGTGACAATGCGGGGTTTGCTCTGTGACCGACCATCGCCGGCAGATCGAGGAGTTCCGGAGGCTGCGCACGCACAGCAAGGGGGTGGCGCCTTCCGACGGCTGCGATGGTCAACTCGGGGACAACTTCCGACCGACTCAGCAGCTCAACGACCGTGTCATCCGCGCTTCCTTCCCCTGACGCACGCTCACACTTTTATCAGCCAGAGACTCGCCACCGCCACCACCACCACCCCACCCCCCTCCTCCCCTCCCCCCCTCCCACAATTTACGTGAGTAGACGCGCGCTCAATATCCGGCGAGGTTGCATCACGCTGTGTTCAGGGCGCTGCTTGAATCGCCGTCGTTATCGCAAGGTTGCGATTTCAAATTTCGGATCCGGGGTGGGTGGAGGTCGACTCAGCCGATCACGCGTGCGGTGCGGAGTTTGCGATGACGCGAGTAACATTTTTTGCGGGAGGCGTTCATCCTCAGGATAGACTGGACTCCACCGGGGGAATGTGGAATTGTTGCCACCGATTTTGAGCCGCCTATAGAGACGAGTGCCCTCCCACACTCGCATTAACCGAGATACTCCGACGCGACTTTGCCATTCATTCACGGCTCGTTGCCAATGTGCCGCTGCGTGAAGACTTCCCCATTGTGGGTCACGGGGGGTTGTTTGACCTGACCTGAGCCATGCTGGTCAGTGCGGGTTTGTTGAACGCTGGACCCGGAAAATCAATTCGAACATTGTCCGCCAATGATCCGGAATCGATGTTCAGGCAGCCGGTTTCGCAGTCCACTTTGCAAACCACTGCACCACCGCTCCTGTCTGTCACTAGATTATTTGCACGTAATTAGACTCTGCCCGTGGAAATTCACGTTTCTACTGTATGTATCCACGAAGATGAATGTGTAATAAAAGAAAAGCGTGAAATATATTGTGCGTTCAACGATATATATCAGTACAGATGGGTGTGCGAACGTGTGTGTGTTATAAATCACGAGCGATATATTTGGTTTGTGTATATGAAAGTTGGTCGAGTGAAACATTAATAAAAACAGGAATGATTGTTTTTCTCACCAGCAGGAAAAGAAAACATCAGTGTTCCAGCCAGCTGGTCTTCTTTAACAAACGTGCATATACACGTTTCTGTATATACATACCAAACATAGCATACGTATATGTTGATATGCTCTGTATACTATTTTCTCATGGATAATGATTTGTACAGTGTATGTTCAAAACAGATCTGATATATCGTGTACAGCTGTTTAAAGATCACGAATCGGATTAAAAGCGGTAACCAAGGTAACATTGGATAATGAACACATAACCAGAAGAGGCTACAAGAAGCATTTCCAGAAGGGAGACACAAAGGTGTCCCTTGGCGTGTTCCACATTTGTTCCGTGTAAAAGTTCTCATTGTAAGTGATGTAATAAAAAAAAACCCAAATGGTTTTAAATTTGGTCTCGAGAAATTGTATGGCTCATTTTGCGAATAAAAACGTCCAATTTGTAATGTGCTATAAGGAATCGGTTTAATGCATTTGCAATAAATACACTACAGGCCATTAAACTTCACAACATATTTATTGCTGCGTTGTGCAATTTGTCCAAAACAATGTTTGGCGTTCGTTACGATATCCCAAATCCTTTATTTTTTGTTCATTGTACGGGGAATATGAGCACGTGTGACTGCTTCTGCTGGTGCCCAAACGTTGCCAATATGGCATTCATTAAAATAATACCTGTCTTGAAATATCAAAGTCATATTTATAAAGACTATATTTTTCAAAAAATATGTACTCAACTCTGTAATGGGGGGGGTGAGCATGCTTGAGCAACAAAGTTAATTAAATTTGATTTACTGTGGCAGGTACGTAAGCAGACTGTTTCCTGCAATGCGGTTTTTGGCAGCTCAGCCAGTGACGCCTTTGCATGCGTGCCAGTGCCCGTACCGTATGTTAATTAAAATATTACATCAATCAGACGTTATATTTGTTGCTAATTCCTTTTTTTTATTAAAACAATGACAACGTATCTCTATTTTTTGTTAGTCAGGTGAATTAAGTTTCCTGTTTCAAGAAGATCAGTGGCGCGCTGTCCAATAATTTAATTGACGTACCGAGGAGAATGGGTTGATTCTTAGGGGATGATAACGTCACGCGTGTGATGTCATGGTTGAGCGTCGCACCGGATCTGGCAAGGCGGTGAGCACGATCGGTAAAAATTGGCACAGGAAAAAATGGCACAAGTGGTAAGTAGGAAAAAATGGCACAATGAAACGGCACTATTTACAGTTATAAGTACTGTACTAACAGTTATATACAGATCTGAATGAAAGAGATGATTAACCATAACCCGTTCACTGTGCCATTTTTCTCTAGTTTTCACTTGTGCCTTTTTTTCCTGTGCCATTCTTTTTTTTTTTACCGGCCACCCATTGAGCACGCTTCACCATTGCTTCCCGGGAAATTGCTCGCGAAGAATTGGCACAAGAGCCCTTGCAAGGGCAGCTGCTAATGGCGGTCATGAATGATTTTTTTTGTTAGTTAGGGAGCGTCATTCATGGCAATGCGCTGTAAAGTTTGTGAAGCGCACGGTTGTCTGCACAGAGCACCGGGCAACCGCAGGCCAGCGGCAAGGCAGCCAGAAATCGGCGACGGCAATTGCCCAAGCTCTGTGGTCCTACGTTGGCATATATTTGGCCAACTCGATTTGTGAGTATAGATGTGGAAGGGGAGCGGTGCACAAAGAGAAAACGCATGTGTGCGAGGGGTATAACATTCATTCCCCAACACGTGAAAATGAACTCACTTTTGCTGTACTACCGACGCCTGGCAAGGCAGGAAATGGTTGACCATCCGGTGCCTTTGCGTCGGGAGGGCATTTTCGCAAAATTTGTCATCCACCAACCCTCGCCTCCAAAGTGCTGGTCTACAGGTGTACGCCACCAGCGCCTGGCTAACGAATAGTTCTGGTCAACATTTAAAAAATGTGCTAAAAGTGCTAAATTTGGTACAGATGAAGCTACGGAATGGCAGCTATTGAAACAAGCTGAATTCGAGGCCCTAGGTTGGAGGGATGTTCACCATGCCTCGACTATTATTCACCATTATACTTTGTGTGCATGATATGTGGACTGATACCTGAAATGTTGTCTTGTATCTTGCCAAGTATATGTATGATGTCATCACAGTTGAACAATTGTTATATAACTGGTTTACCCAGGAGAGGCTCACTGAGTGTTACGACTTTTACAGGAGGGTCCTGCCAAGTTTTCACAGAATGGGGCAATGTTGCTATGCATTTTCTTAATTGGGTAATTTATAGGTAATTTTCCAACATTCAGATGTCTGGCCATTTCCAGTTACATCGTGTGCATTGTCCTAGCTATGGGAAGAAACAAGTTAACCCAGAGGAAACCCACGAAGAGAAAACTCCACGCAGAAAGACGTCCGAGTCGGGAATTGAACCCAGGGTGTTCTTGCTGTGAGGCGCAAGTTTAACCACTGCGCCACCCTGTCACTCAGTAATATCTTACTTTAATGCTTTTGGATATTTTGTACAGCATATCGATATGTATATGTTTTTTTAATGTCACAAGATTATTAAAATTAAGTACATGAGTACGTATCAGGTGAAGTTGCCACTTGTATTATATTTTTTTTAAAGTTAGACATTGTAAAAGCGACATGTGCATGCCATATTTCATGGAAATGGACTGAGAAGCCAAGTTTATGGAAGTTTAACCCAAATGTCCTTTAAACCTTGACCCCAGCCCCCTATGTCTTGTAAAAGGGCTTTGGCTGAAAAAAGTTCGAGTTTTTAAACGGCTCCCATTGCTGTCGTCAAAAAACCCGACATTGTCCTAGGTTTGTTCCAAATGTGTGATGCTTTTATCCACCACACTCTGAACGATCTTTGTGTCACGCTGACCTTAACAACTGCACTATGCATTTTACGATCTGGGAATTATTTACACATGCTCCCATTCTGCAATCAAATAATACATTGTAAACTACGTCTCCACCAAGCGTGCCGCTTTTATCAAGTTTCAACCAATATTTTTTCCCTTAACAGCCACACACTGTCACTGTAAAACGACGTGCCATTGTGTGCTCACGGCCCTCATTTACGAATGTGCTTGCCTAGATCGCTTGAAATAAAAAAAACACATCGTAACAACTGGATATCAATAGCCGACTGTCACAGCAACACGCGTCGAGGTTTCATAACGGTCAAAGGCACTTAAGCGTTCATGATTTTTTAGCAAAATTATTTAGTCATAATTGTAAAGAGCCTCCATGTCAGGATGTAATTTGGAGTGTAATTTACTAAACCTGTTACGCGCGCACTCGTGTGCGTTCTCTGGACACACTTTGGCCTTAATGACGGCCGCTGTAAATGTGTCAAATTAGCATAGAAATTGTTTGCTCCAATTACACCTCGCGTATTTGCTCTACGCATGACGACCGTGGTGTGATATCAATATAGATTGTAGAACCTCGGCAAAGTGGATTAAACAGAAAAAAAAATCCAATGTGTTCCTGTTAAAAAGGTGTCATTGCAACTCAAATTTTTGCACCATTTCAGGCTTTAATAATAATAATTTTAATGTATAAATCGTTCTCGGGGCGCTACGCATGGAAAGGCAGAAATAGTTTAACATCAATCAAGGAAAGAAGAAATGAGAAAGACGTTTAAAAATGACTAAAGGGAGAAAGTAATTTAAAACAGATAACGTTTTTTAGTCGAGATTTGAAGATTTGTAAGTGTCTGGGAAGTCCCCTTGACTTCGAAAGGAAACGAGATCCAGAGTTTATGTGGCCACAATTTCAAAGGCACTGTCACCCCCAAGTGTGAAGCCTCGACACCGTGGGAAAGTGAGCAGTGCACAATTTGAGGATCTTAATGATATCGATGGAATACTTGGCTGAAGGAAGCCATGAATGTAGGGAGGAGCAAGTCCATTTAGTTGAAATAAATATTTAAAACATTTCATGAAACGTTTTAATGAAATGTTTTAACTATTTGTTTTTAAAATTTGCCCTTGACTACACATGTAAGTTCACAATGTTTCATTTCCTTATAGGTTTTCACTGCTTGCGTGTTTTACTTTAACCCACAACGATCATTTGATGAGATTATAAACAGTGCACTGTTCGCAATTGCTAAAGTCAAACTCTTTTCTTCACGTTGTGTGGTGCAGTGGGATTGGCTTTTGTGGCTGGGAATGGAACCAATGTTTTGTGTAACAGAGGTTTTGCGAGATAAGCCCATGTGCGACGCAGTGGCCAAACAGATTGGTCATGGTGATATTTGATTTAAATGAAACGTAGTAAACTGAAAATGAAAAAATAGGCTGAAAACTAAACTTTAAAATAATGTAATGAACACATAATTGAAGTTGCAACTGAATAATGAAATGTAAATGCCAATGCGCCTCCCCGCCCCCCCCCCCCCCCCCACTGTGTTTCACGGACTTATTTCTACTCCGGTGGTTTCATTAAAACCAGGTTGCACAATTATCCAAAGGTTCAGCTCCTTAAACACAGCCAATTTTCTCTCTCAAGCTGACCACCACGAAATTCACTAGCCACGTGGTTTCTCACTCCAGAAAGCCATAAGGGGCGGGGGGGGGGCATCTACTCTTCATATCCCTGAACCAGTGGTGGAAATTCACACATTCCTATAGAAGGGTGGGAATATAAATAGGACAGCCACTGCTGACTTCCCATTAAGTGGGTTCTTATTTATTAGACCACAGAGCGATGAAACGCTGAGTTGCCACCTGGCTGGCATTTGTATTACAATGACCGGTTGGCAATAATAACTATAATACGAGTATGCATCTATTAAGTGGCAACGAAGGAGTACCGTACGTGAAATGTTGGTGGGTAGTGAAGTCTTCACTTTAACAAAAAAAACACCCGAGTATGGAATCGCATGGCTTTGAAAACAGCCGATGGCAGGCCGTTGGACAACATCGCCCCCACAGTAATGGAGCTGGCGGCCGTTCAATGTTGATACATGAACAGCTTTCCAGCCGTTGTCACTTGTGCACGTACTTGTGGGCAACGGTGACGGAGTTAATCTTCGTGGGTTAGCCTGGGATCCACCCCCCAACTGCACAGGGCATTAGATAATGTGCAGCGTTTTACTTCATACGGCTCGAGGCGAGAGGTAAGCTTGGCACTAAGCCCTGCCGGGTTGGTTCTGTTGAATGTCAATGCTACTCTAATGCACGTTTGAGCCCCCCTATCATCAGCGCAGCGCTGATGATAACGACAGTTACTGTATTGCTGTGCACGTGGCCTCTGGCATTTCATGGGGTTTGTGCGTCACGGTGCTCCTTGCCAGCACATAATGTAGCAACGTGGAGTCGCCGTGTGAGTGATTCACGCGGAGACGATTTATCTGGGTGTGTTTGCCAGTGTCTGCGACACCCCAAACTGCACTCTTGTGAGGTGGACTGTGGAAGGCAGTGGAACAACCACCACACTCCAATCTATCGGTGTTGATGTTTTGAGTGTTATTCCTACGTATGCGATTTGGCCAAACATCCCAAGTATGACCCACCAATAGTTTTGTGACCGGTATTAATATTATAATTCACTTAATATACTAGAGTAAAACATGTGATATGTTTAAAAATCAATAAACCAGATGTCATTACCTCGTAATTTGCTCAAACAATATAGTAATGTGCGGGGCAAATATTGAATACAAATATTTGACGTATTCATTTGATACAATTTAGTTATCTTCATCTGTTGAATCTACTGATTTTGCAGAAATTAGATAAAACACAACGAATGTCCTGTGTAAGACTGGGTCGACCATAACAATGTGGAATATCCATTACTGGCTAAGGGTTGCTAAATGAGAGCTGCCTCATTACTCGATTGATAATTAAAACAAATACGTATATAGTCAAATCAAACACCGCAAATATAATAATTCCACAACACAGCCTCACTGTGGGTCTACCTTCGCCTCTTAATTTTGTGCTCAATTTAAATAAATAAAAAATACAATATTTTAGAAAATCACCTTCATGTCAGACACACGCGTGAGCAGTTGCACTAATGCGCGCTGTGCGCTCATTCGTAGGCCGGTAAATTTATTCGCATTGTAATTACGCACGATTCGCTGAAACACCACTACGGCCCATCGTTCGAGCTTCCCGTGCAAAGAGTGAGCCTGCGTATAGACGTGAACAGTAGCTGCCTGGTGTAAAGCCGGCTTGTCAGCCGGTTCCGGAGCATTTTGCTTCCTTTGTTTGTTTTGTGGCCGTGACCTCGTGTTGCTAAACTGGCGACACCAGCATCCTGATCGCACGGGGCCATTGTGTTATGAGACCAGCCCACGCGCACTGTATGCTCCCATAGAGCCCACTTGCGCTCACCACGGCTCACGTGCGTGTGTATGTCGAACTTCTTTCGCACCGTACGTAGCCAACCGTGCTAATTGGAGGTGTGCCGGGGAGGCGGGGGGGGTGTGTAACAAACTAAACGCAAACAGCAGTTCGAAAGAAATTCGTTTTCAATCTCGATTTAAAAGTGCATAGCTTCAGCGGCTCCCTAATATCGGAAGGAAGAACGTTCCAGACTGCCGCAGGAGCGCATCTGAAAGCGTGTTATGCAGTGTTCGATGGCTAGCTAAAAGCCGCGGTCAGAGCTGGCACAACTGAGATCCTGAGTTGGAATCCAGATATTTAGCCCTCCGTGGTTAAACCAGGCTCTCAACTTTAGCGACATGATCAAGTTAAACTTTTAAGTTTACTTTGTTTAACCGAGTGAGAACTCAAGCGACCTGTAGAATACAATTTGCAAGAGTGACCCGGTGCATTGGACTTCCAGTAAGGGCGATGATTGCATAATCCCAACTGAGTTGGCCGGCACACAATGACCTACTCTCACGAATGACGTCCAGGGATCTTTAACGTCCGTCGTGCAACAAACAGTACTTACACTCGCAGTGATAATCAGGGCGGCCGCTGGAATTCGAACCGTGAACCACTCTAACAGGCAGCAACAAGAGGCTACCGCTACACCGCTGTGCCATGTTCTCAGCCGGGTCATCATGCAGAAGAAAAGCCATCACATGATAAAGTGGTTGTCACTCAACTTGGCTAAATTCCAGCTACGAGGATACAAAAATATATATGTACTGTATTATCGTTTTAATTATCATAGCAGAGCGTGTTCGAAAGTGCGCCCCCTAGTGAGTACGTTGTGTGGGCCATTTTAAAACACGTTGAGGGGTTGCACTGCTCTGAAAGTTCTAAACTAAACTATTTATTTATTTTACCAGGTAAGGTAAAAAGCGCTATCTAGCTCTTTTTTCAGAAGCGACCTGGCCACAAATGATAGCTCAACGAAGTGGCTTATTGCGTGGAAATTAATAGCAGTCGCCAAAT